ACTCCGGATGTGCTGACCCCTGCGATTTCCCCAAATGCGGGAAACTCGACTGCATAATTTGTGGTAGTGGGGGACTGCGTTCGCGCTCTCCCCTGATTATTCTGGTTGAAAAGAAGACGAGCTCTTCAAGATAAGTGGCATCTGATGAAGTTTCTTGTCTTTCTATTTTTTAGGTGCCAAAAACGTCACTGGAAGTCCTTAGGTTTTTTGCTTTCTCTTTATATTTTACTGCTTCGTGTGCTTAGCAGCAATTATGTTTTTACTAGTGTTTCTGTAACTTCCTGTAGTTTTTAAACACTTTTGATCTGTTTAACTGAATCTGGTTAATACATACATAGGCTTTCCCTCTGTTTCTGAATTCTTTCCTACACCCAGCAACTTGGTCATGTTTAGTATCTCCAGAACTTAGGGTGTATTATATATGACCTCTAAATTTACTTACAAGTTTAAATACTTGCCATTAGAAATAATAGTCTGAGTGACACTTCTACAGATTTGTCTTCAGTTTGTAAACGAGTGGAGAGCAGAGGTGGTTTCCATACAGACTACCTGATCAAGGCTATGTAATTTGTTTGATTTTTGTAAAGCATAAACAAAATTTAAAAGGGGATAGAGTGGACTGTAGGTTAGTAGTAGAATACGTGCCTAGCATGTTCAGGTTACTGGACTCAAATCAGCACTGAAAAAATAAGTAAAAAGATGAGTTGTAACTTTAACTCTGTGTGTTGAGTGTTTTTGCTTGCATGTATGTATGTGCACCACATGCATGCCTGGCCCCTAAGGAAGTCAGAAAAGGGCATCGGATACCCTGGAACTACATACAATTAAGGATATTTGTGTGTGAGCCACCACATGTGGAGTGCACAACTGTAGTTCAAATACTAGGGAGGTAGAAGCAGAAGGCTCGTGCATTCATAGTCATCCTCTTCCACATAACAAATTGGAGACCTGCCTGGATAGGGTCATATCTCAGCACCAGTAATTTCATATATTAACAGTTTTAAGTGTGTGTAATATACAGTAGTATTTCAACAATTTAGGGTTCAGTGGATGACCCTGATACATCCATCTTCATTACTATGATGGATGTTCTTTCCAACTTAGACCAGTTATCTCTCATCTTATCCATATCTAGTTTCCTTTTTGCAGATCTTTGGACAGCATAGTAATTTCTTTTTGTTGTTGTTTCTTTTATTTTTTTTTTTTCTGAGACAGGGTTTCTTTGTGCAACAGCCCTGGCTGTCCTGGAAGTCTCGTAGACCAGTCTGTCCTTGAACTCGGGGATCCACCTACCTCTCAAGTGCTGGGATTAAAATCGTGCACCACCACCACCCAGCTTTAGCCCTTTTTTATTAATAGTAGCTCGAGCTCCTGCCTCTGCAAAGTCTGTTAGTGTCCAAGCTCAGGAGTACAGTGTTTTAAAAGACAAAACCATCATTACATCAGTGCTTAGGGGAGGGAGGTTACATTAGTGAGGGATTTAGAGTGGCCTGGTAACATCTGCTTTCTTTGCAAGGCTTAGATGTATCTTCCAGACACTGTGTAATACATTTGGACCATTACCAAGGTCATGGACAGACCTGAAGTGTTGCCAAGGGGGAAGTGGGTATTGGAGGTGGGGCAGGATGGCATTACCTTAGTCATTTCATCATGCTTTATCCATGAAGAGAGGATATATCTAGTTCTTACACTGAAAGCTGTGAGCGTTAAACTTGTGGTAGTGGTGGGAAGACTGTTCATGTTTTTCTTCTGACATTTTTAGTGTTGAAAGACAGGTTGCTGCTGACAATGCTTTCTGAAGCTTAGGAGTATTATTTGTTCCTTTAACTTTCAATGAGAGCATGTAATTGGCTAGGTGGGTTTGTTTGTTTATTTATTTCTCGCTCTGGTTGCACCGGGAAGAAGTATTCTGAGTCTCTGAGGGCACTGCAGGCTCACAAACTGTCCCATACACTGTTATAAAGATAAGTTCTATGAGCAGTCCGATATGGGTGCTGGGAATCAAACTCAGACTTCCTGCCAAGAGCAGCAAAGCCCTATCTCCAGCCCCACATTAGTTAGCACACCACAAGGCTGCATACTTTACTTTGTGAGAACAAGAGTCGGTTTAAATCCAGGCAACATTTTACAAGTACTCAGTCCTCACGGAATTTTTGTGGTTGACAGAATTCTCTTTGCAATTTTGGGAAATGGAAACACCAAGGATTTGATTGATTCTCTTAAATGCAGCAGCGATTGACTTGAAACAACCTATCTTGCTGCCTTCTTGAGAGTAGTCTCCCCACACGTCATGCCAAATCCATAAGAAAACTTCTGTTAGTAGCAAATGATTCAAGAAAAAAAATGTAAAATCTACCATTGTAGAGAGGAGTGGTTTAAGAGTTAACGCAACCGGAAGAGAAATGCAAAGAAAATCATGAGAGGAAGACGTCACTAAAAGGGGCGGGGATATGCAGATAGTCCTAAGCAGGTCTGTATTCTAGTACTTTTTTGTACAGAAGCATTTTCAGCAAGTATTTAAAAGTTTTTGCTCTTATCTATATCATATAGAACAACTGTCTAGTCTTGAGAGGAAGGCAAAACAATTTGTAATGTAATTGACCATGACTGGTAAGTGTGTCGATGATCAGGGTAGGACAGTACAGAGGCTTGCACAACTCATACTTACCTGGCAGGGGAGATACCATGATCACGAAGGTGGTTTTCCCAGGGCGAGGCTTATCCATTGCACTCCGGATGTGCTGACCCCTGCGATTTCCCCAAATGCGGGAAACTCGACTGCATAATTTGTGGTAGTGGGGGACTGCGTTCGCGCTCTCCCCTGGTATTGTGGTTGAATATTAGACTAATTAGGGCTACAACTTCCTATTAACCTCTAACTTATGCTACCTACAAATATGAGTTCTATCTAGTAGACAGTAACTTGTTTTCTTTCTGCCTCTCTTCCAGCCTGTTGTCTTATCTCTTGAAACAGAATGTTGTGATGATATATTTCTCTAATTTTTTAAAAAGCACTTTTCATTTTAATCAGAGTAAATTCAAAAGTTGTTTCTGAGCAGTAACCTACAATCTCGGAGCCTCCTGACTAAATTAGTTGTAAGTCCTGCTCCCTCCGGTTCATCTCCCCCCTTACCCCTCTTTATGTAGAGTGCCCTTGATGCTTGTGCTTGTTGGTTCACGGAGACTTTAGAACCCGGCTACCGAGCATTGTGATGACAGTGGTGTCATTTAAACAGTCTCACAGAGTGTCTGTCACAGTTAGGACAACAGTAGGTGACTTAGGACTATTTTGTACTGCTCTAACAAAATGGCTGGATAATTTATAGTAAATAGAAGATTCTTTGTGTGTATGGTGGTTTAAATTAGAATGGCCTCCAAAGGCTCATTGGTCTCCACTGGTGGGACTGTTTAGAAAAGGATTAGAATGTGTGTTCCTGCTGGAAGTAGGCGTACGTCTGTTCGAGGCCAGTCTGGTCTACATAGTGAGCTCCAGGACAGCCAGGGCTACATAGTGAGACCCTGCCTACAAACTAACAAGCAAAAACAGTAAGATAGTGTGGTTTTTTTATTTTAGGAATGGTCTCTGTAGAATGCAATAGCCTCAAATATATGATTCTTCTGCCTCAGCAGAATTACAGTATGAACTGCAAGAGCCTGCTTTTGGGGGTGGGGCAGGGGGAGTTGGGAGGGGCACAAAAGGGGTTTCTTGTAGTCCAGGCTAGTGATCAACCTCTTGTGTAGCTGATGATCTCCTGGTCTCCAAGCCTGTGACCTTGAGCTCCTGATCCTCCTCCCTCTACCTTCCAAGTAATAGAAATACAGGAGTGCACCACTATGCCCCATTCTTTGTTTTTGAGAAAGGGTCTCATATAACCCAGGTTAGTCTAGAACTGTATATGTAGCCCAGGCTGGCATCAGCATTTGCAATAATAATCCTGCCTCGGCCTTCCAAGTGCTGGGATTATTACAGGTGTTAATTGCCATACCCAGCAGAAATTTATTTCTCACAGTTCCAGAAGTTAGAAGTCTAGAGGAGCTGTGTCTAGTTGAGGGCTTTCTTGCTGCCTCATCCTATGACAGAAGGCAGACAGAAGAGAAGGAAGGGAGAGAGAGAAAGGGGGCTCTGACCATTGTTTGTAACTATACATTCCATTCCCTTGATAACAAACCTTTGTCCAAAACAACAGCAGCAAAAAGGCCTTCATTCATTCATTAAGTGTGGTGTCCCTTGACCCAAACACCTTTAAACGCTCTGTCTCGCTGGGTGGTGGTGGCTCACGCCTTTAGTCCCAGGACTCTGGAGGCACAGGCAGAAGGATCTCTGTGTTTGAGGCCAGCCTGGTCTACAGAGCATGTTCCAGGACAGCCAGGGCTGTTACAGAGAAATCCTGTCTCAATGCTCCCCCCCCAAAAAAAAAACCCACAAAAAAAGCTATCTCCCAGCACCTCTACATTGGCAATCTAATTTCCACCAGTGAGATTGGGGGACTCATTCAGGTTGTACCATACACAAAAAAAAGTTCAAGTTTCTCTGTGTTGTTTTGTCTTGGTTGCTCACTGTTCTATTGCTATGAAGAGACACCACAACTAAGGCAACTCTTATAAAAGAAAGCATTTAATTGGGGCTTGTTTACAGTTTTAGAGGGTTAGTCCATGGCAGGAATCAGACAGGTGAGGTGCTAGAGCAGTAGCTGAGAGCTGTACATCCTGATCGGAAGGCAACAGGCAGAGAGAGTGAGGTAGAGAGAGTGGGAGGGAGGGAGGAAGTGAGAGAGAGACTGGGGCTGGCATGGACTTTTGAAATCTCAAAATTCAGACCCAATGACACATCTCCTCCAACAGCCCACACCTATTCCAACAGGGCCACATCTCATCTTTCCCAAACATTTCTCCAGCTGGGGACTATGCGTGCAGACATATGAGTGAGCCTATGGGGGCATTCTCATTCAGACCACCACATGTCCTCACGCACATTAATAGCTACAGAGAAGTCACTGGGTGCCAGGCGCAGTTCTAAGTATCTAACATTTAAACTCTCAGCGCCTCTCTGGTCATTTTTATCCTCATTAATAGATGAAGAAGTTGAGTATTTTCATCTGTGTTCAATCTTTTTTCTAAGATTATAATACGGAGAAAGTGAGGTGTCTTTAACAGAAGCTTTCTTTTGGTGGAGGGGGCTTTAATTCAGGAGTTAGGGTGCCAGAACCTCAAAGTTATACAAAATTTACACAGAGTCATTGGCCCCTGGGCTCTTACAAGATGAATTTGAAGAATGAAATTCATGGACAATAGAAGGATGGATTTAGAAAGAAGTTTGTTATAGATTCCTATGTGGGAGCTTGAGCGGAAGACAGAGCTCCTGTAGAGCAGGAGTGAGTCCCAGAAATAGGATACCATTGACCTTCAAATATAAGGGCTTTTTAAAGGACTTAGGAAAGAAACTGGGGTGGGAGGGAGATGGCTCAGTCCAGTTGGCTCAACCATGACGCGTCCAGGAGTCTCTTCTCAGTTTGTCATGTCTTGATGTACAAGTTCCAAGAAGGGTGCTCATTTAGAGACAGAGATAAGGAGAAAACAGACCTCCCTTGTGGCATCCTATTTGTGGCCATGAATGTATGGGGTCAAACCAGTGTTGCAGGCCCATCATCCAGATGGGGCAGTGTAATGAGTTTCATTCTGCACAGTCAAGGTTTTACTTTTGCTGGACTATTTTAGAATGAATGACATGTAAGCAACAGGTTTCCCCCAAAGGGAATTTGCCTTTGACTTATCATTTTCAGCCTGTTAAGGATAGAGACAATGTACTCTCTTCTGTAGCTGCTTCCAGCTGAAATTGGGGTGTCGGTTGTCAGGACCCAGGAGGGCTGAAAGGCAGTCAATGGCTGGGCAATAGGACATTTATAAGGAGCATCTGGTTAGCTGTTCCTGGCGAAGGGACGGGGAACAATCACATCAGCTAGATTGGTTCACATCAGCTTTCAGCAAGTCCAGAGGTCAGCAGTTTGCAGTTCATAGGTGCTCTCTGGATGGTGTCTATTAAATCTGCTGAAACAAATATAGACTAAGAACAAAAGTTAAAAATTTAGGAGTGTAGATGTAACCAATCGTATTATTAAAATAAGAAACACAGAGCCAAGGTAAAAGAGAAAAGCCGAGAGGTCAGAGCTCAGAGATAAAATCTTACCTCCTGCAGTGCTCCTAGCTTCCCCGAGAGAGGGAGGTACTTCCTGTGTCCCTGCTTAAATAA